AAGAGGAAGAGTTTAGGAATAATATATTGTCTCAAGTGTTGGATCAATCGGCCAGAGCTAGACGTATGTGTTGTGATGGTCTTCGGCCACACCTCATGATAATTGAATGCATTGTCTGTTTGTTTGTCATACAGTGAGTACACTATCGGTGGCCAAACCAGAAAAGGCCAAAATGGTTGAAAACCTGTTAATACAAAACGTACGGATGGGTGCCATCAGGGGAAGAGTGAGATAACACTTGCCATCACTCTATCATTGAATGTCTTTTTCATTGATTGTGTGCTTATCTGTAAACTGTTAGTTATCTGAAGACGATTTGAAGGGTCTGTTGGAGAGAGTGAGCGAACAGACGTCCCGAAAGACAACCGTTAATGTATTGATTGATTGCAAACTTATTTTGGCATTTATTTAATTGTTTTGTTTCTCTCTTTGATGTGCGGATAGTATGACAGAAGAAGGACAGCGTTGGACGACGACTCCGACGAAGACTAAAACTAAACGATCGCTGGTTTCTGTTGTCTACTATTTAATAACATTTTACATTAATTACAATCAATGCTTAGATTTTTATACTCAAACTCTTTAAACTAATTGATACTTACATAGCGTTTGAGCGTTGAGTAAAAGTTTTTGATAAATATATTCAAGACTTTATAATCACTTGAATTTTGTAACCGATTTTAATTTGAATTAAAAGTGAATTAAAATAACTATTTTATTTGCTTACAAATTGATCCGGATATAAATATACGGTATCCGAGTTTTGCATTAACAGTATTTATTAGGATATATACCGGCAAAGGGATTACAAAATGTTATGTATTTCATTATTTAAGTATTAATTGATTGGTTTTATTAGATAATGACAATCAATACAAACCACGCATCTCTTAGGCAACTGATTATATTTATAAAATCGTTTAAAATAGAAATTATTCAATCATTTGTTGCGTACAGTTATTCGAGATTTTATTTTTTAAATTTAATTCAAACTATGGTTAGTAAACGAATAATTGAATATATGTTGTGTCCTATCGATCACTAAATTGATTATAAAAGTAATATATTTGTCGACAACTTGTATGAAATTAAATGAAGAATAATGAAGACATTGTCTAACGTGTATGTATTTGTATGTCATATAATTGCAATTTTATAAATATTAGCACTAAATAACATACTTTAGACATGTTTAATAAGGTATGTTTTTACGAGATTTATAATGTATTTTCTTGTTTGAGGTTATGTTTTGTAATAAATTCAAGGGTTAAAGTGAACACGAATGCCTGAGAGGTATAGAATGATGTAATATAGTTATACAATTTATGTACATAATGCATTATATGGTGTAATAGTGTTGAAATTGTATCATGTACACTTTTACACTATTCATGCAATTGCTATGAATAGAGTCTAACATAAGTCCGGTTTATATAACCCACACATTATATTGAAGAGCAGTACTCTTCGCAATAGATATTCTTTTCAACAGATAACTAACCATTTATTGACTATAATTTTAATGCAATGTTTATTCTTGAATAATAGATGAATATAATTTGAAAAGTTGTTTATAAGAGTCTTTCGCTCCAATTGTATTATCAATTTTTGTAAATATATTTTTATGTTGGTTATAATGTAATGGGTAACTATGAATGAGACAATTTCCTGTACTAATACCTGTAATATTAGTTATTATATGGATATAAAATAATACCCGCATTAATACATGCTGTATAAATTGGTTTTTATATATACAATAAACTTATATAATAAACGAATTTTGTATAAAAAACTACAAATTCTATATATTTTTGTGATATTTTGCCAATTTTTTCTCTGTAACTATAAGTCGTGTGTATTTGAAACTCAGATTCATTGACGCAAAACAGACAACCAATGACTCAATTAATTTCTCAGAAAATTTCAACAACAAAAAAATTCTCTAAATAAGGAGTAATTTATTTGAACACAAAGGCATTCAATAACATAAAAATACTAATATTTATATTTAATATAAAAATGTTGAATTTTTTCATACAAAAAATAAAATGTACATTTAAAAAGTTATTATTCAATTAATTACAAGCAATGATATGAAAATAAATATATTGATTGTAACGTTATATTTGATACGAACTCATTCCCAGGTTTTTTTAATTTCCATTTTTTATAATTTTATTGACTCTTTTGACTGTAAAATTCCCGTAAAAGCTATTTTTGTAAAAAGAAATTATGAAATTCAATAATAATAAGAAATTGAATGCTATATTAATCATTAATATCAGTGGTTTTGTAGCTATTTATTACAAAAATTATGATCAAATTATTTAAATTTTACAGATATCATAGCAGCAGTTATTTTTATCACTCCATTCGTTATATCATTGATATTATTGACGTAAAAACAATCTAAATATATAATTAAAAATAGATTTTCATCGATAGGTATTAAAAATAGTTATATATAAGTTACACATCATTTCACGACAATAAAGCGGATATCGTTTTGAATACTTAAATAATTGATCAAATGATTGAAATGGGAATGAATTGATTGATTAAAACGAAAAAGTGTGCGAATCTTATGAGCAAATGAGTGACACAACGGAGTAGTGATGACATCCTTATATCCCAGTGATGTCTGAATGGCTTAACGCTCTGCTAATGGACCGCATAATTAATTATGAAAAACCTGTCATTCATTTGTTTTATTTACAACTAGTTTTATCTCAATTTACGCACATTTTTCTCAATGAATGAGATTTAATAATACCTTTTCTACTGATTGTATGAAACGAAAAGTGTTTTTGAAAGAAATGGTTGATTATAACACACCTGAGAGGGAGAAAAATTGCAAACTAATAGTGATAACTAATAAAACGTTTGGTTCAATACCTTTAAACGTCATTTGAATCCAATTATTTTAACGTCAAAATAAATTCAACAACAAAAAAAATATTAAAACATTAAACGATAAAATTAGAAATCATTCAACAAAACTTTATTTCGCGAAATGTTTGTTTGACTTGTGTTTGAAAATAATTTAGCGTTTATTTACTTAACATTGTATAGAGTTTTGATGTTTTCGATGAATAATTTAATGATGAAAATAATTAATAGCTTAAGAAAAGTTTGTATTTTAGGGTTCAAAAGCTTTTGTCTATTTTTATCCAATAAATAGTCTCATAAAATAAATAACTGAAATTCATTTGAATGCGTAAATGCATTATGCATTGTATCGGTAGTGAAAAAAGCAAATAATTTGTTTAAAAATATTATTAATAAGATGTGTTTTTTTCTTTATTAACTCTCAAAGCGTTAAACTAAACATCAGTTCTTACGTGAATCTCAATGTGTTTTTTGCATATTTCGTATTGAGTTAATATTAAATACTTTTAAATTACAAAAATTATAACATTATAAACGCATTCATTTTCCCTGTATTCAAGAGTTGACGAGTGAAATGAATTGCATTTTGAAAATTCATTTGACGACATAAAGTGTATATACTGTATATCGTGAGGCCAAAAATCTTGGTGGATATCCACAAAGTGTTATACAAGAAGTTGATTGGACTGATAGGCGAGTGATATTGTATGCGGAGTGCGTTGATGTATGCGAATCGGTGGTAATGTCTCGTCGGTAGCGATGATTCAGTGATGAACCAAACTTATGGTATGTGTTTTGGTGTGCGCTTGCGTTCAGACACCAGAATCTGCACAACTCTGGGAGAGGTATGTGTTTTGGTGTGTATGTGCTGTGAGTGTGAAGAGCACTGATATGTTGGGGAACTGGCGATAGTTTGTGTCACTGGAACCACTGTAATGGCAACACAACACTCACACATTATTCTGTGCTAACACTTTGCCATTCATTTGTATCCATGAAATGAATTCTTGATAAAAACGAGTGTTTCGTGAGATTATTATAATTATTGTTACCTTTATATCAAATGTTGAATAATATACGAGTTGTGCCATAAATTCTGTCCCCTCTTTATATATGAAATATTTTTTATGTCCGTTTTATTATACGTTTTGACGGATTCTCTCCGCCAATCAGTTCCGTAACAAAAGTGTTACACAATTTGATAATTTGATTGTATCTGAGAATTGCCTTTTTATTATTGTTTCAATTAATTATATTGTATAGAAATTGTGGTGTTTTTTCTCTCTCGTATATAACTTATAAATTGGTTGCACAGCAAAAGCACTATTCGTTATCAAAATTGAATAGACTATTAAAATAGTGGTTTCAGATAAATACTAGTTTTTGAGACAAATTATATTTTTAAAAAATCCAAAATATTAAATGTAAAGTTTATCACCGGTTATGAATGCGTTCACCGAAAACACTTGTTTCATATGTGTATGAATGACATAAACACTACACACCGTCTCTTCTGATTTCATTAAAGACATGGCATCGTGTCGTCCATCGGAACAGTCATCGCAAGCATCGGCGCCACAGACCTCATCGCCGCCATCGCCGCCAACCACTCACTCGTCGGGCGTGTCGTCCATCACTTCCAGCGCCAGCGCCGACGTGCGACTGGGCTCTAGTCGACTGTCTTCATCACACGTGCACTCGTCCTCCTCTTCTACCTCTTCGTCGTCGTCGTCCGTTTCGTTCGCATTCGGAGGCCATCAGTGGTCGCGACAGTCGAGTGTCGACGAAGGGGTCTTCCATTCGACCTGCAATTCGCCGGCGAAGTCCATACCCAGCAGTCCTATGGGACCCAAATTCAAGCTCATCCACGAGGGAGACATCCACTTGTGTCGCCTCAACCATCAGAGAACAGTTATCAGCAAAATATTGAGCTCTAAATTCTTGAGACGTTGGGAATCGCATCGACTTTACTTGACTGCAGTTAATATCACATCAAAGACGGTATGTATTCATTAATTCTGTTCATTATATCTAACTTAGAATTACCCAAAAGTATTAATGTTTATAAATACAAATGCAATTTTTAATTATAATTGCAATCATTTTGTGACTTATTATGCATTTGCGGCTACTTTTTCTAATGGATGAGTTTTATGTTGACTTATAATCAATTATTATATCATATTTGCTATGAGTTTGGGTTTTACAAGACTTTGTTATATCGATCGAGTGCTGCAAATATGTATAATTTCTATCATTTTTGCTAATAAAATATATGGCATTATATTAAAAGTGTTAAAATATGTTGAAAGTGTTAATGAAAAATTTTAGCAATCATTTATATAATTGCCATTAATTTACTTGAATTCAACGCAATTGTATAATTATTATAACATATATTTTATTTTTCAAACCTATAAACAGTTGCAAACTTTGCGATAAATTATAATAATTAAAATTTTTATTTATTTAATAATGCCTTCAAAAGAGTTTTATGCAAATAATACCCTTTTAGAGCTAATAATTGCAGATTTAATTGATTTTGAGTACAATATAAATTAAGTCACTAATTGCATCACTCATTGAATTTATTATTTTAATAAAAATTATGATTTAATTGTTGTCTAAAATATCCATTAAGTTATTGCCAATACAATGAAATTCATGATTTCATTGGCAATGAATGCATTTAAAATGAATTCTTATGCAAAATGCGGACATAGTTTGATCACTAGACTAGAGTTTATGCTGATGTCTAAATCGAGTGCAATGTTTAGGTAATAATGATAAAAACAATCTCAACCCGGATCTAGATGTTAGAGATAGTGTACTGTACTACATATTTATATGATTTTATATTATTATAATTGACATAAATTCTTAATATACTTTCATTGTATGTCCAGATTTATATTTGCTATTCAGACACAAACTAATAGTTGTTATTTATTTGCTTTAATTTATAACACAATGAGAATTAATAAATAATTTATAAATAACAATAATAATGATTTTTTACTATTGTTTTAAATTAATGTCATATCCTTTATATGAAGGGAAACACTCAATGTTTGACATTTCTTTTGTGTAAACAACAGTCGAGTATATTCTCAAAGATTATCGCATTTTTAAAGAATATTTTAATAAAGTTCTGCAAACAAACTATTTTTAAGCAAATTTTAATGCATTTAATCACAGGATTTCTTGTTTCACAACTTAATGTTTTACAAATTGATGGCTAATAAGAGATATAAAATTATTTATGTATATCTAGTACTATATTATTGGATATAATCACTATTTGCTCGATGGGCCACTAAAGTGCCATAACTGTACACTATTGTGTATCGAGGTTATACTTTAGTAATAGCATGGTTAATGTTATCAAATGAATATTTGTATATGAATCGCCATACATGTAACTTATACAGTAGTGACTACTTACTATTACATTTGTACAGGCAATCCATGGATATAATATTTGTTTTTGAAAATACTCACAGAATGTAAATTCAGAATAATATCGTTTCTAAGGAAAGAGCAATAAATATCTAGTTCTTGCCTCTCTCTCTCTTTCTCTCTCTCTCTCTCTCTCTCTCTC